GGTTACTAAAAAAAGATCTCTCTAAAAGGAAAAAATATATATAAAAATATTTTATGTCACTTTTGAAACTGTGTTTTACCTTTAAACTGTCTTCTTGCAATAAAACATTAAATAATCATACTGTTCCTTGCACCTAATCTCCACCCTACCCTAATCTTTGTTATATCTTTCTTTTTAGATCATCAAAGCTTACATTTATATTTTATTAATTTATGTTTTGTAACAATAATTTCCAGTTGCCTTAGTTCTATATTTATGTTTTAAGTAGAAGTAATAAAGATAATACACCACAGGTATTTATGATTAAATGAGAACTGCACAGAAACTCTGTGTAAATTATAAAGGGCTAGAAAAAATATTTTCTCTGCAGAGTTATTTACAACAGCAAAGATCTGGAAACAGCCCAAGTGCCCATCAGTAGATTAGTAGATAAAAATGCTGTGGTACGTTTACAGAATGGAGTACTATGCAGCTGTAAAAAGAAAATATTACCCTTTGCAACAGCATGGGTGGATCTGGAAATTATTATGCAAAGTGAAATAAGCCAGACAGAGAAAGACAAATACCATACAATCTCACTTATATGTGAAATCTAATCAAAATAATTTAACAAACAAAATAGAAACAGAAGCATAGATACAGAGAACAAACTGACCGCTGTCAGAGGGGAGAGGGGTTGTGGGGCTGGGTTAAAAAAGGTGAAGGGATTAAGAAAAAAAAAGACGTGTGTGTGTGTGTGTGTGTGTGTGTGTGTGTGTGTGTGTGTATGACACATAGACATGAACAATAGTATGGTGATAGTCAGAGGGAAAGGGGAGTGGGGGAGATGGAAGTGGGCAAAGGGAGAATAAATGGGGACAGAAAGGGATTTGACTTTGGGCGGTGAGCACATGATGCAGTATGCAGGTGATGTTTTATTAAGTTGTACATTTGAAACTGTATGGTTTTACTACCCAAAGTCACCCCAATATATTCAATTAAATAAATAAATAAATTCAAAAGCAAATAAAAAATAAATATTAGATATTTGTGTCCATATTGCCTTCTGTTTTATACACACTGGCACCACCAGTGTACTCATTTATAATAAGCTTCCAAAACCCAGAAATACAACTGTACAACACAGTTGGGGTATACACAAAGTTCTAAGTTAACTTAGTAGATATTTAATTAAACTTTGCCTCAGAGAAAGCCAGCGTTCAAAAAATAAAATGAAATACATAAATTATAATAAACATAGTTCACAAATCTATAAAGTACAATAAATATAATTTAATGTTCACATTAAGGAGTTAAGTTGTTGGTTCTTAATAGTGATTAATAATCACTATTAATAATCACTATTAAGAAGGTGCTTTTATGTTCTTAATGTTAATAAGGTACTTCTTAGTACACCTGCAGATAATCTTCAAGAATAGAAAATATCCCAGGTTTATGTGTTAGATATAAAGGGATTAGAATACTGGCTTGAGCTAATGTGCACTGACTCTAAAACGTATACTGAAAGTTGTTTTCAAAAAAAAATCCCAGATACTGAGTTTATTTTTATTTTCTATTATAATATTCTCTCTTAAAAGTTGAGAACTTTTTAAATTAGTTCATTTAAATTTTTACTTGTTTTAAGTAAATAAAAGCTTATACAGTGATATTCATAATAGTGATGATTTTCCTTTGACTAAAACCAATCAGTAAATAAAGCATCATTCTACACAGGCTAATGTCAACTGACAAGACATAGTAGTTAGTTTTTAACTTTGGGATTTTAATATTATTATACGAAGTTATTATAGTGCAAAACATAGTCACTTATAGGTAGAGTAACACAACTGCAGTTGTATTTGGTGTTCTTGGAATATATGGGTCCAAGAAACAAGAAGCTACTGCTTCCCTGCCAAGAAGTCAAGTTTAATTTGCTTTCTTTTCCCCTCCCTCTTCAACTGGCTGAAATACAAGTTCCACTGCAAATGCAACAACCAGCAAACACAGATGCCATCATAAATACATAATGCTGCCAAGTAGGAAACCCTACATTGATGAGTAACAGAACTCCCCATAGCAACTGGAAGATATTCTGGGCAGCACAGTTAAGTCTTGAAGCTATATTATAAACAAAATGCATGCATTCCTTATAACTAAAAAATAAGTTAGTTTTAAATAAAAAACACTGACATTTACTATTACCCAATGAGCAATTTTTCCGTCTAGTTCATATTCTTACTGTACTGAGAAATTTTATAAATCTTTCATTCTGAACCTCTGCAATACATAACTGCAATCAAGGAGGCCCTGCTATGCCTTAAATAAAATTTGCCATACTCAATAAAATAACAAAACCCACAGTTTACAAACTAATAAACAATTTGGGTGTTTAAAATTTAGCAACCGAGTGACACTCCTCACCAGCATTAGTTGGCCTGAGTACAAAATGTGAAAACGACAAATATTTATAAGCATCCACTGTGGAAACAATACATGTTAGATGCTGCAGGGGAATGAAATTGAAGACAAGGCCTCTACTCTGAAGGAACTTTTCCTCTAGTTTGTAGAAATCACTTATACGGGACACTAATAAATCAAAGCAGAATTTTGTTAGAAAATCTGATGCATATGGGATGTTACAAGAAACATCATTTGCCCACAACTGCTCTGAATTCTGACCTCCCCAAAGCAAAGATTCCAAGCATCACATACCAACAGATGCAAAAACTGGAAAAGGACCTTTTAGGGCAGAGATGAGATAGAGAGGCTCATGGCCTCTTCAGCTTTGGTTTTAAGTCGAAAATACATTGCAATGAATTTTGTGAGCTCTTTCTTTGTCACAATCACTATGACATATCAATGCTAAGGAGTGACATCGCCAAGGTGGTGGAGTAGGAAACCCCAGCCTCTGCTTCCCCGCAAAGATCAACAATTAGACAGCTATCGATCAATAAAAGCAGCTCTGAGAGAATCAGGAGTCCACTTAAGAAACTTTAGCAACACTGTGGAACAAACAAAACAAAACAAAACAAAACAAAACAAAACAAACCCTGAGAATAACTGCACAAAAAGGAAAGAAAGAACAGCTTCCTTTTGTGTGCCTCATCCCATCCCTCAGGGTGGCACTGCTCAGCGCCAAGAGGGAACTCCCCAGTGGGAAAGAGTTTCCCGTGCTGGGAAAGGGACAGCAGGGTGAGTGATCAGCTTCCCCGGCCTTTCAGGACACTGCACAAAGAATCCACTTCAGTTCCACCACACCAGAGACCAGCAAAGCTGAGACATACAGATATGGCTGGGAACAAAGAAGAGCGGAAGGAGCAGAAATGACCACGGTTCCCAGTGCGGCCCCTCCGCAAAGGGCCCTAGCAGTTTCAGCCACTGAGGAAACCAGTACAGCTGTAACAGATCCCCTGCAGATGTCACTGGTTTTCACCCCACAGGTTTCTGAATTCACAGATTCCAGATGCCTGAGTCCCTCTCTCCACACCTCTCCTTCCCTCTCTACCAGAGCTTGGGATCTGTACCAGCATCCTGCCCTGGCATCGATAGCTGCGGGAGTGTAAGACGCCAGCCTAGACTCCCATGGCTGACTCCACCACGGTGCACACGCTCAAGGCTAGCTCCTTCAGCTGTGGACTTGCACACCCCCACCCGGCTCCCGTTGCCAAACTCCACTGCCATGTACACACCCATGGCAAGACTCTGTAGCCACAGGGCTGCACGCGGACAGCCAGGAACCCTGCAGTTGCCAGTGCACCCACGCTTGGCCCCAACCCTTGCTGCTTGCTTTACCCCCACCACTGTGAGTGTTTCTGCCATCGGCACCTGTCATGACATAGGCTCCTGCAGCTGGCTCCCACAGCCAAGGTATGCACACCAGAGGCTTCCGTCACCAACACTGCCCGCCATAGTCCCCAGCCGCTGGACCCAGAAGTGGACGCTGAGGAACCGACAACCCTCGCGTATACTGCAAATCCCCCCCAGTGCTCATCAAGGACCAGTAGTTGTCAATGTTATGGACTCCAGCAGCCTGAGTCACTGAGACATCATGACCCAGAGCTGCCATATGCACCCACGCTTGGCGGTCTGAACCACTAGACCCGGGGTTACGACATACTGCACTGCCTCGCCACACAGAGCTGAACATCTTTCCTCACTGAGTCAGTCCATAAACTTTGGAAGAGGCGATTGCTTCTTCAAATGCGTAAACACCTATGCCGAGGTACTGAGAGTCATCAGGAATCAGGGAAACATGACATTATCAAAGGAACACGGTAAATTTCCAGTATGTGATACCAGAAACTGGAAATCCAGCAATTGCCCAATAAAGAACTGAAAATAATTGTTCTGAAGATGTTCAGAGAGCTACAAGAGGACAGATAAACAATTAATGAAATCAGGAAAACAATACAGGAACAAAATGAGAAGTTCAACAAAGAGAAAGAATACATGAGAAAGAACCAAGAGGAAATTTTGGAACTGAAGGGTGCATTGACTGCTCTGAAGGAGTCCATGAGGGCTTCAGCCACAGCTTGCACCCACCAGCAGAAGGAAGACACGGTGGCTCAAACACATATCATTTGAAACTACCGTGTTAGAGGGACAGAAAGAAAAAAATGTAAAGAAGTGAAGAAAGCCTATGGAACACCTTTAAGAGAAAAAACTATGCATCACTGAAGTCCCAGGAGGAGAAAAAACAAAGAAAGGGGTAGAAAGCTTCAATAAGAAATAATGTCTAAGAACTTCACAGATTTAGAGATCCAAAATCAGGAAGCTAATAGGTCACTCCAAAATTTCTATCCAAAACAATGTTCTAAAACATACATTATAATAAAACTGTCTCAAATCAAAGATGAAGAGAGAATTTTAAATAGCAGTGACAAGAAAAAAAATTCTCTCATATAAGAGAGTTCCCATAAGGCTATGGCTGATTTATCTGTAGAAACCATGCAGGCAAGGAGAGAATTGGACGATGTATTTAAAGTGCTGAAGGAAAAAAACTGCCAACAAAAATACTTTACCTGGCAAAGTTGTCCTTCAGAAGTGAAGGTGTGATACTTTCCCAACAAACAAAATCTGAGGGAGCTCATCACCACTAGTCTTGCCTCATTAGATATGCTGAAAGGAGTTCTTCAAACTGTAACAAAAGGACACTAATTAGTAACATGAATAAAAAACAAAAAATGTAACAGTGACAAATCTCAGAGGGAAGGGAGGAAGGGGTGGGAAGAGATTAACCAAAGAACTTATATGCATATATACATAACCCATGAACACTGACAATAGTGCTGTGAAGGCATAGGGGGTGCAGGGTGGAGGGGGTCAATGAAGGGGAAAAGGGACATCTATAATACTTTCAACAATGAAGATAAATTAAAAAAATATATATATATATAAAATATACTGGTAAAGGTTAAGTATATAGTCAGACTTAGCAAACTCTAATAGTGTAATATGATGGTGCATTTACCACTTAACTCTAGGCTAAAGGGAAAAAAGTATTAAATATAACTATAATTACAATAACTTGCTAATGGATATATAATATAAAAAGATGTAAACTGTGATATCAAAAACCTAAAATGTAGCATGGAGGAGGAGTTCTTATACTTTAAAAATTACAAAACTTACTCTAGATGGCGTACTTCTATAAGCTTGCAGAGAAAAAACAATACAATGGAAAACCAAGATTTTTTTTGTCATTTCTAACCAATGATTATTAAAATTATGAATTCAAAAAATCCACCAACAGTTGAGATTTGTTAGTAGAAAATTAACATCAAACTTAAAGTTATTAAGCTAAATTAGAATATAATTAATAACAAAATACTCCCTAATGATTCTCTTTATACAAGGAAATATTTCCTTGTGAGCAAAACCTTATTTAGAGAAGTCTCCTGCAGAAAAATGAAATGCTTATTAGTATCCTCCAAAAAGAAATAGAAAAAATATTGTCCTCAACTACTTTTACATCTTTAACTCATTTATTTTTTAAAAGTCCCTCTCATTCTAATATTCGTAAGACTGCATGTGTGCAGGCGTCAGAGCTCTGAATCTAGGGTGCCACTTTTGATCCACTACTTGATTGGTTCCAATTCTATTTTCTCACTGCTATTCATTTTCTTAAATCAGAAACAAATCATGGTGTTTTAATTTCTTTTTAGCAAGACAAGTTTTTCTTCAGTCGTTTTGATCTGGACCCACCCAACTCTGATGGCCCTCACAGAACTCTAGCCATGTGTATATATTTAGTCAGGCTAGTGGGGAGATTGGGGAATTATCGGCCAATGGGGCTGTGTTGTCTCTGCTTCTCTCTGTCATACGGAATGTGACATGTACACCAGGATAGTGAAATTGGATCTAAAATCAGCTGTCATTTGAGTCCAACCCTTGAAACCCCTGGCTATAGTTACCACTCTGGAGACCTTCAAATTTATTTTAAGTTGATGTGATATTATGGTCTGCATTGTTACCTAGAGGTTTTAAAGAACATGCTCTTTGATAAACCTCAACTTTTTTGGTGATTCATCTGATAAATCACATTTTCACAAAATCGTTATCCATGTTTTCATGCAACGTTTAAGTTACCTAAAAGGGAACTGAATTCACAATTAAAGGGAATTATTTAGTAGTATATTTCTCAAGTTACTTAGGCATAAGCTCAGATTTCTTCAAAGTTACTACCCATTCTCTATTTACAAAGGTTCATTACTACCTGGACATCTACAAGCAGATGTTTCCCTATCAGTGACTTATTTGCCGAAATACTATCTCCAAGTTTGTTTTGGCAGCAGCAGTTTCTTAAAGTAGAGAAATTTTTCCAGGACCTAAAGAGTTGAATATAAGTTGCACTTTTTATTACATTATGTTTTCTTATATTAAGTACTAGAGAAACAATGGACCCTATTGGAATTCACCTATTTGTGGCTGAAATGGTTTGTTGCAACACGCTTCTAATTTAACTCTGGGGGCATCAAAATATTTCTAACTATTAATCAGGCTTTTATATTAAGAAACAATGAGGGTAGAATATAGGACTTGATATTATTCCTGCTTTCTACTATGCCCATTATAAAACAGAGCTCATACCTTCTATAATCCACTATGGTTATTATAATTTGGTGCAAAAAGAAATACAAATATACATATATACAGGGGGGAGAGGAAAGAAGAGATGTATATATGAACTTCTGTGTATATCTGTGTAGACAGAAAGAATTTATCTTTTTTAAAGACCACTGAACTACCTCCATCCCCCTCTTTAAAAAAAAAAAAGTTTAAAAAGCTATTGAAGGCAACAAATATAAATAAAATAAATTCAGCTAGACTTCTGAGAAAAATAATAGCATTAATTCTACATACAGGGTGTCCCCCCAAAAATGTATACACAATTTAACAACCAATAGCTCAATTAATGTTTCTTTCTTTTCAGATTTAACCCATTGGAATTAATAATTATTCAAAGTGTGTGTACATTTTTGGGGACACCCTGTTTATACTCATTTTTAAATTACCAGGAGAAATGTATTCCATTCAATATACAAAACAGACATGTACACCTCAGTTCTTTATTATGGCATCTAAAGAATATATGGATTTTCTTTAGATGCCACAATAAAAATGATGGGAAAAATAAATAAAGCAGAATAAAAGGGGATAGCACAAAGGATGTCATATACAAACAATAAAAGAACAAAGGGAATAACCCAGAATTCCACAGAATCACCTGTTTCTTCCAATCAGTCTTTAAACAACTGAGTCTAGTCCAGACCAACGGCTCTCAAATTTTAGTGGGCCTCAGGAATACCTGATGGGCTTGTTAAAATAAATTGCTGGAGTCTCTCATGTAACATATTGGGGCGAGGCTCAATAATTTGCATTTCTACCAAGTTAAAAAATGACCATGCTTTGAGAACCATTAACTAGAACTCTCACTAGCCCATTAATGACTGTTGACCATTCACAATATCCTTAGAGTCAGAGAAAATTCTGCAGCTATTGAGTGATCCAGGCTTATGTATGTGAGTCATCAAACTGTGAGGTATTGTGGGGTTTTTCTTTTATTTATGTGGCATATCTGTGATCTCATTGGCAGCCTTAACCATGATGTTGGTCCTGATATGTCAACTAGATTTTTGAAATGACTTCCTGATTACAATTTCTTTTACCAGAAAACTAAGGGAAGCTAAACTACTCCTGAAAGGTTAAATAAAGTATACCATAACGTGCAGGGTATTTTTTCTAACTCATTCGAATATGTACTGTGTGCAGGCATCGTGTTAGAAGCTGGAATGACAATAATGGACAAAAACAGTCTCTGATCTAACTAAAGAACCTACTGGGGAGGACAATCACCTGAAAAGATAGTGGCAAGTGATCCCATTGAAAGGTACATGATAATATAAAAATAGACAAATGTTCTCCAGGGGAGCTAAACATTTGACATTTCCAAGTTGTTTTTCATAATCATCAGCTCATAGGGTTATCGGTGTTTTATTTTAGCCATTCCAATAAGTGTTCAATGGTGTGTCATCAAAGTTTTAACTGGCATTTCCCTATTAATAGCTAATGATTTTGCACATTTTTTCATGTGCATATTTGCCATCCCTACAGCCTCTTTGCAAAGTGTCTTTTGCCCATTTTCTAATCAGTGTTTTCTTACTATTGAATTTTGAAAGTTCTTCATATATCCTGGACACAGTATATTTGCAAATGTTTGCCTGTGGCTTGTCTTCTTTAACAGGATCTTCTCTGGCTTGTCTTTCCATCTTCTTTAACAAGGTCTTTCTCAGAACAAGATTTTATTTGTGACAAGATCCAATTTATTCTTTAAAAAAAAAAAAAGGTTTCACCTTTGCTGTCAATTAAAGAATTTTGGCCTGAACCTAGGTCAGATGGTCAGATATTTCTTCCTGTTTTTTTTTTTCCCTAGAAGTTTTACAGTCTTACATGTTACATTTTAGATCCATGACTCATTTTAATTTTTTATAAGGTGGGAGGTCTAATTTGAGGGGTTTTCTTTGCTATGAAATGTCCAATTGTTCCAATACCACTTTTTAAATACTCAGTTGCCTCACACAATTCTTCTATTGAATTGCTTATTCACCTTTCTCAAAATTTAGTTTGTCATGGTGTGGGTCTATTCTGGACCTTTTCCACTGCTGTGTCTGTCTGAGAAAACCACACCACCAGTAGCAACACCACATTGTAGTGATTACTGTAGCTCCATAATTTTTAATATATGGTAGTCTGATTCCCTCAACTTTATTTCCAAGGTTTTTGAGACTATTCTAGATTGTCTTTTCATATAAATTTTAGGAAGTTTGTCTATCTACAAAGACTCTGTCTGGGATTTTAATAGAAATTATATTCAACCTATCTAGATTATTTGGGGGACAACTGACATCTTTATTATGTTGTCTTCCAATCCATGAATATGGTATGTCTCTCCGTTTTTTAGGTCTTCATTAGCATTTGTAGTTTTCAGCAAACATCTCCTATACAAGGTTTTGAAATTTTGTACTTAATATTTTTATTATAAATATTATTTATTGCTAGCATGTATAGTTGGTTTTTGTTGGCCTTGTATTCTGTTTTCTTGCTAAATTCATCGTTAGTTCCAAGATGTTCTTGGAGATTTCCTGGGATTTTCTATGGACACTACCAGGCATCTGCGTATAAAGACAGCTACTTCTTCCTTTCCAATCGTTGTCTTTCATGCCCTTTCCTTATCATACCGCACCAACTAATAATACATCGGTACTGTCAAATAGATGTGGTTGAGGGTGCACATCCTGCCTCATTCCCAATCTTAACGAAAACACAGTCAGTCTTTCATCGAGTATGATAGTAACTCTTAAGTTTTGTGGGTTATGGTCAAACTGGGGAAACTTCCTTCTATTACTGAGATAGCTTTTTAAGTCATAAGTGGGTACTGCATTTTGTCAAATGCTTTTTTATTATCAACTGATATTACCAGGTATTTTCTTAATATGATGGATTGCATTGACCAATTTTCAAATATTGAAGCAGTCTGTGTATCTGAAATAAACCCCACTTGGTTGTGAAACAACTCAAATGTCTTTCCACAGTGAATGGATTACCAGAATGTGTGTGGCACATTCATACAATGGAATATTACCTAGCAGTAAAAAGGAACAAACTACTGCCACATGCAACAGCACCCATGGA